CCTACATTTTATACTATTTACGCTTTCTGTGTACATCGTGGTTTGCGCACACTGTCGAGGATTATTTGTAAAATCATTAATTCAATATTCACTCTCGCAGTAACAACTGGAAGTTCTAATAATAGTTTCTTGATACTGATGAGAATTGTTTTTAATGCGTGTAGTGCAACCACTTATTTGGCGTTTTGCCGAGGTCTGAAAGTGCTGTGTACTTAATTGTTGAGGGAATCATAATGGAAACGCACAATATGTACCGACGTTTCAATTTTACGATACCCTTAGAAAACATTAAGGTGGGGTTTAACATGCGAGAGTTCTCTCAAGGGTACGCTAGTTCATACTAATTATTTAAAAATCGTTGGAGCTTTCTTCAGAAAATCTTATTTTTAATAAACGATTTTATGTACTTAGAAATATGTCTACCAAGACTATGTACAAAACTACCGTATTGGGATGTTGCGTTAAAAACGAAAAATGTGTATATGTATTTTTTTTAACAAGAACTACCCTAAAACGCTCTTTTGACAATACTCCCTCACCCACCAGTGGCCCCACCCTCGCTCTAGGCATTTACAGCGGTCACTCCTCCGGGGCCCTTTTGACAAAGACTCTTTGACCCTTGCTGCCAAACAGTTCACTAATCTGACAAAGGATTTGAGCCCTCGAACCCTCCACTAGTCGAGTATTCTGAAAGTCCTTTCACAGAATCGATATTTCGGAAACTTTCCTCTTGTAAACGTCTACAGACCAGAAAATGTGAAGTGATAACCATTACGGAACAGTTAACTGGACCATTAAGGTTATTTATTGATTTTATTTACGGAGTAGTTCTTGAAACTAAAACTGTAGGAATATATTAAACCAAATATTTAATGAATGTTTTTAAGTTGAAAATAATTATATTCAACTCTAATTGAACTTTTTACTATTGAGTGCTCCCTATTAGAAAATTTAGAGGAATAGGATAAATAACATATACATGAACAAAGAATATAAAATAATTCAATAAAAAACACCTAAGTAACATGGTCAACATGCAGCTATGCATTCACCGTCGTAGTAGCGATTTTGTGCCCTCAAAGACTTGCAGAGTGGGGAGGGGGCGTTCTATGAGGATATTAAAAAAAAGGTTTGACGGATCTTTTTACTAACTATATAATTTAAAAATTTCCATAATAAATAATGTTTGTCCTTGCTTTCGAAATGGGATATTTTAAAATGTATGTTGGTGTCGAAAGCCTGTTAATTTTTAACGAATTTAGAAGCGAGTTATTCTGTTGTAACCTCGAAGTTCTAATGTGTTCATTGATTCTCTAAGAAAATTTCCAGCCTGTCCAATTTAGGCAGAATTGCATGCAACTCAGCACTTTCTTGGCTGCTCTTTTAATCTTTTGAAATGGTATCTCCATTCCTGGGGCTTTTAAAAAAAAGTTACGAGTGCTCTCTTATGACACTTGCACATTTGCGTTTTGTGGCGACCCGTTATCTGTAGAAATTCTGAACAAATTACGGGATGCCAACAAATTTTAACGCTTTTTTTTCAAGTGATATTGGGAGTAATTTTTATTTAGTAGTATTATTTTCTTTCTGTTGAACAATCTCAATGGTTAGAGGATTGTAGCAATTCTTAACTGCAGTAGAATTTGCTGTTAATTTGATTACTGAAGGCTGACTTTTCCAAATGAATAGAAACGATCACGAGTGGAAGCCTGATACAATGCTTCTTATGAAGTTTCTCGAAAACTCCAAAAATGTTCTGTGAAAATTAGCTCAAACTTGCGCATTTTCAGAAATACTCAAACGTTTATTACGTTACAACCTCCCACACAATATCAATACATGTAAAACGTCCATAACATGACATGATAGCCTTAGAATACGTTACTACGGCCAGGGAGAATTTGTTACAGGAGGCTTGGTGAAAAACTTGATAGGTGTAGATACAAGTTAATGTATTTTTTGACTAATAGTGGAAAACTATTCAGAAAACTCGTGTTGTAGTAGTCTCTATTGTTAAGTAAGTTAGAAATTTATCAAAGATTTTAATATGTTCATTACCATTATATCAAGTTGTTAAAAATTGAAGTCCTTAGAATTCGGAGGCGGACATTGACGATAGTCGAACTTATCCGTTCTGTTTGATTCTGATATACTAGACCATTCTTCAATTTGAAATGTATGCATTTCCGTGACAGCCCGTGAACGGACTCAGGCCTACCGACGACGTCCCTGCCTCGCGGCCATGGGTTAAGGGGGACATGGGGTTAGCATGTACATAACCCCACGTCGTATTCCGGTCTTCTCAACCTGAGAAGTGAAATTTCTCATCGTCACACAGCAACATATACTGGGACATTGCAAGGAAAACGGACACTATAGTCTTTGCTCGACCGGGAATTAATTTTATATTAGTGGTTAGCAATTAAATTACGTGGAACAACATAGTTAATATTTAAATTACAAGTTTAATTTGATAATTTGTGGAACTTTCAATGATCTTTTATGAAGTTTCTCGAAATCTGGAAATTTTCGATTCATTGATTGATGCATTTATGTTTCCGGTACGTCGCTAGTCGTGCCACTATGCTTTGGTCACTAGTTTCCTTAGCGTAGTCCAGAAAATTACAGTTTTTCACTCCCGCTGGATGGTGCGATCTACTCCTCGGCTTCCGAGGATTTCGCTCTCCAGATATCTCCCCTAGCGGAGCACCGCCTCTGAGAAATATTTTTGGCATTTGTAAGCAAAAGTTAAATGTCAAATAGCTGGCGAAAGAAAAGAAATTGCGTAATGACGCAAATGAAAATGATACATTGAGAGTATGAGATATCAAATTCAAATATTAATTGGATTAAGTAAATTTTGGGAAATTTAAGATAAAAAAAATAAAGATAAATATTATAAGAAATTGGTGACATTGTCGTTCACATTTCTATCGTTATCTTGTAAAACAACATTCTCTACAAGGTTTCTTGTTGGCTTGGTCGAATTTTTTACTACATTCTACATTGCTATTGTAGTTCTATTTTCAGTTCAAAATATCCCCAAGACTCTCTGTAGAGGCAACGGTCATTCTGACTCTAAACTAAGACAGCTGGTGAAAGTTTCCGAAATCAGTGAGCAAAATGTAAGGCTGATGACACTATCTCAAAAACAGCTTCCAATATCTCTCTCGGTGGCAGCTTTGTCCAAACGTGCATTTTACATTATTTTCTTCGTTTACATTTTTTTAAATATCGGCAGCGATATTGAATTCTCGCGATTACATAAAGAAAAACGATCAATCGTTTGTTTACTTCAAATAACTGATAGAAGAAAGAATTGAAAATATTACAAATTCTCCGGAAGCGATAATTTTCAGTGCTCGCGTACTCGAACAAATTTTTCGTTATTAACACAGCGAGTATGGGGGTTAAAATTAAGTTGGTATCTGAATTCGTGAGTAATATTGTCATATAAAAATTCATTCATACTGTCAATGACAAGTTCGCAAGGACGACTGAGAGAAGAGTATGAACTGAGGTGATGTTATTGCGCTAGGCTCCGGTACTGCTCATTACGGTTGCAGTAAAACTGGCGAGGAAGGAGACAGTTCTTTCGTATGTTGCAAGAATAGCAAATAATATTTTCGGTGAGCTCACGTACTTTAAAAAATGCGCCCCCCCCCAAAAAAAAGAAAACATTGCAAAAGTACAAAAATTTATGGATATTATTTGCTTAATAAAATCTGATCTTTAAAATTAGTTATTTAACGAAGATCATGTACAATGTTTTTGAAAATGTGGGTAGTTTCGCATAATATTGTAACGTTAATAACGGTTTTTATTTCGAAATTGCAAATTTCCTGCGCATCTTTTGTTGAAGTATTTCAGAAGATAGTAAGAAGCAATATGGCAATGGTAACGTTGCCAGTTTGAAATTCATATTATTACTTTCCATTATTGGGCGATCATGTATTTCACTTAAATGGAACACAGTTATGAATTGTACAATTTCTGCTTATGTATTAGCTTTAAAAGAATTAGTACAATTTGTACCTCATGCGCTAAGATTGGTAATTATTTTTGATTTATTTAGTCAAAGAATAGTAAAAACTGTATGTGACGTATGGACAAGTATACCATCTGCATACGTTTTCGTGAGTTCCTGAATCTCTCCCCAACATTTTAACTATAAGTAATTGAATGGCGAATAAAAGTTCCAAGCAACGAAGTTAGCAACTTCTGAAATTATACATTTTTGCTCCCGAGTTATAGAAAACGTATTTGCATCGGTAAACGAACTACAGATTTAATTTTTTACTTTCTCACACTTACTTCTTAAGAAGAAAGTTATGTAATCGTGCGCCGGAAAACGGAATTTTCGGCAGAAAATCTCTTATCGTCGGACCCTGGAGAAAGTGGATAAATCCTGTTTCTAGATATAGTAAATTATTTCCTCTAACACGCGGTGTAGTCAGAATCGATGTTTTGTTGATCCTTGATACCGAAAAAATCAAATTTGTTTTTGTTCTCCTGGAAGTTATCTGAATATTTCCTAACGGTAGAAAAGAAGACCTTCGGGATTTGTAGTTACTCTTGAGATTATCAATAGCATTTCTCCGAAAGTACTTTTTTAAACCATTTGATCCTAACTTAATATGCAAGCATAACACTCGCGCATTGTCGTTGCGTCCGTGCGCGCATTATCATTTCATTCCCGATTGAAACAAACTTTCTTATACGATGTTTCATTTAGAATGTCTCCATCTATTTAAGACACAAAATTCGCAAAGGAATATTCGAGATAAGGGGAAAAAATCCTTGAACTCGATTGTTCCAATTTTGAATCAGTTGGATCATTAAAACGCGCCATTCTCTTTTGAACTACGAAACAGAATGCAATGTTTTCTGTCACTCGCAAAGGTCACTCTTCTTCGCTTTCGTTCACAGATCTCGCAGTGTCGGAGTCGATTCCTCGATTCCTTGGTATGAACCTGCGCAGATCATACTGCACCTCCATACGCCACGTACATTAATTTGAGTTTTTTGACGATAAATAAAAACGATCGTTCCCGTTTCCACTACCTCCCTTTCCCTTCTTTATTTCGCACCTATGAAGTCTTCTAAGATCTTCGATTCACGAAGTCCACTCAGTCTTCCATGTTCACGCCCTATTTTACATCACGGACAGGGAATAACTTGCCGAATCAACCGGTGACAAACCACAATCGGAAGTGGGTAGATATAGATTGTCAGATGTTTAGTTGTGGGTGTGGTATGGATGTGATGTGATCGATCTAATAAAAGTGATTTCTTTTATTATATTAATTGGTTGTAAATTAGTTTATTTCGGCTGAATACGTTCCAACATGCCGGTATGCGTTGTTTTTTTTAAATTTATTTCAACTGATGGGTTAAATCGAGTATGATAAGAACAAATAGAGGTTATGGTTACTTCACTAATGTCAACCTTCTCATTTCAGGCATATCATTCCAGTTTTCTTGAATACAATCAAGCTGTAGGAAATATGGCCATTTTGCCCTTCCGAACACAATTCCGAGGCCCAGTGGCTCATTTTACCAAAGATTGGGACATCATTGATGAGGCCCTTTACTACTTCAAAGCCAACGTTTTTTTCAGAACGTACGAAATAAAGGTATTTAAATTCAGCATTAATACAAATCTTTTGAAGTAAATAAGTTGTTAACAAGTAGAAGACTATCCAAATTTTTTCAATAATCCTGTGTTCTGTATGATCAACTAGTTAGTAGTGCATTGTGCTTGTTACAGAGTGAAGCAGATAGAGTGTTAATTTATATCACTCTGTATATAACAGAATGTCTTAAACGACTCCAAAAATGTAGCAATAAAAATCAAGGCATGCAAGAAATGTACACATTAGCTATTTCAAAATTTGATATACCTGGAGATCCAGGCTTTCCTCTTAACTCGGTGTATGCCAAACCTGCAAATCCTACAGATGGTGGTAAGAAAAATTTAAAATATTATTTGTGACAATGTCAGCATGGGGTGGGGGTTCATCCTGTCGCTGAATAAACTTATTTTATTCATGCTTAAGTGATAGAAATAATATTACTTTAGTAGATGGTTGGATTAAATAGTTTTGATGCCTTCATTCCTCTGGCACATACCATTTTTTTTAATATTCTATTCAAACTATGTTCTTATAAGAAAGTAAGTTTTTATAATTAAAATAAGTTTTTAATTTTTCATGTCTTTTAATACATAGCATATTGAAAGTGGCTAGAAAGATGTAAATCACAGGCTTCAATAATATCAACATGAAACTGTTGAAACATGGTGGAAGAAAATTATAGGACGAATTACTGGAAGCAATAAATGAACTGTGGATCGAACTGAAAAATCTAGTAGAATGAGTAATATACAACAACAAAACCAGGACCAAGAAACAACTCAAGGAATTACAAAGAAATCAAATCTCAGCATCTACCTAAATACTCCCCAATTTTTGTTGTTGTTGTTGAATTAATAGAATTTAGTGAAAGCATAGAAGTGAGCAATGTGGCTTCAGACAAGGGAGACACAATTACCAAGGCACGTTGTTCATAGACTATGAGAAAGTGTATGGCTGGGTAAGAGAAAACTGCTATGGAAATACTCAAAAAGAACGAAATGGGAGACAACTAATAGAAGAAATAAATGAGTTTGTACAAGGTTTAAAAATTGAAATACAAAATTTGGATGGAAACATTTGAGAAGAAATCACAACAGATGTAGGACTATGACAAGGATGCACACTATCCCCACTACTATTTAATTTATGCATGAACACCATGGAAGAAAAAATTTGTGGTGTTGCTATGAGATGTAACCAGAAATAAAGACAATACACTGTACAGATGAAGTAATACTAGCAGCATCTGAAGATGATTTACAAAGAGAAATTGAGAAATAAGATAAAGAAATATAATTATTTTGGGATTAATAGAAGAAGATGCTTGGCAAAAAAGCAATCACTAATAGAGGCAGATATTAAATTAACACCAACAAAATACAACAAAAAATAAATGCAAGAGACATTTTTCAAAATATTAAAATAAAGACAAAGATTAAACTACACAACGTTGTTGCAAAACCCACCTTATAGTAATGAAAAGTGGATATCAAGACAGACAAAAAAGAATTAAAGCTGCCCAAATCAGATGTATTAATTAATTCTAAAAGTACTAAGGAGAGACAAGATAAGAAGTGAAGAGATTTCGAAAGAAAATCAAAGCAAAAAAATGTTGGTTTGGAAATTGAGAAACATAAAAAAAATGGCAAGTACACTCAAAAGAATGAAGATAAAACTTTTCTCAAGAAATACGCTCAAGCCAAGAGGAGGAAGAGAACAAGGTAGACAGAGAAAACATTGGGAACATCAGGAACACCATGGAAGAGACTACGGGAATATAGCTAAATAAAAGGAGCAAGCCAACAGATCTAAAGCTTATTTGATGATCGTGATGATGTTAATGTTAATATATCTTTAAATTTGGCTTCTTAGAAATTACTTTAATGGAAAGTAATTTAATCTCTTAATATATTCTTTGACTTATTTGTATCCTTTAATGTTTTTATTTTTAATAGTACTTTGATTATTGCACATACAATTGATTAATATTATTCTATATTGGCTTCCTACAGATCTGATGCGTCAATACATTCAGCAACTACGTCAGGAGACTGGATTACGTGTGTGTGAGAAAGTTTTTAGTAATGCTGATGGAACACCTTCCAAATGGTGGCTTTGCTTTGCCAAGAAGAAGTTTATGGATAAGTCACTGTCAGGCCCTGGCCAGTAGATAATTTGGAGCACTTACCCAGTTCTAATGCTCGTGTGACTTACGAACAATTCATTGCATTTTGTATTAAAATTTTTGTATGTACATTTTATTTTTAAAGCTTTAAAGTATTACTTCATTATATCTGTACTAATTTGGGTTTCCATTATATCATTAATTTTAAAATGTCAGTTGATATTCCTGTGGAAATTTTACTATATGATTTTAATGTATCTAAATTTGAAGCAGTAAGTTTGTGTTAATTATTGAATAGCATTGTTTCAAAATTCTATTGTATATTGTTTTTTAGGATGCTTCTTTATTCATGATCTCTATTTATCGAGTCCTTTCATACCTGTTGTTGAAAATGTTTAAACTGAAGAATATTTTAATGTCATAAGTTCTTCAGAAAAATAAATACTATTTGTTTCTGCTTTGTATCTGGTGTTTTTTGTTGATTTTCCTGTTTTTCTATCCTTGAAAATCTGATGTCTCAAAGGCTTGAAGATTTTTAATACAGAAAATTAAAGATTTCTGTTTAAAATTATTACTATGTGTTAATGATTTTTCATTTTTAAAATTACATTATTTATTTTTGGACAGAGTTCTCATAGGTAATTGGCTTTTATGTTCAAATATGATCTTGAAATTGTAATTTTTGCATCGTATTTGTGTCTCTTGCATCACATTTTATGGTCTAATGTTTTTTTTAAAACAATAAAATAACAAAGAAGTCATATTTAAAAACCATGAAAAGTCACTGAAAACTACAATCTGCCTGTTCAATTGACGCAACGCATCTCCAAGCCCCGGGGGTGTTGAGCACTTTACACTTCTGGAGTAATCCTTCATTAATGTTTCAATATGTCATCAGTCACGACTCATCGCAGTCAGTTGTCAAGAAGACCGCCAAGTCTCATCTCCGCATACGTGCCCGTGTCACTACTCATTGGCCAGAATTAGGGAGGAATAGGGTTTAGGACACTCCATAGGGATTGGACTAGCCCCTATAAGCGACGAGAGCAATTCAGTATAATTCGTGGGTTATCCTAAAACTGGATCACATACTGTAGGTCTGCAGTAAAAATGTTTCATTGCATTTAAACTTAACATGTAAAAGTTGTGTTTTTCTACGAAGGTCTTAATATTTAAAATGTAGTTACCATCAAAAAGGCATATAAACTAAAACTTCTAATACACTGGCTGACTTTGAATTGGCAGCCATGAAGGCAATGAGAACATCTATTCCTTAAGCTCAAGTGAAGGGCTGACTTTTCCATTTCACCCAATCAACAAGGAAAGGAGAAGTAAATAAAGGCCGAAAAAGATGCGTATAAAAATGAGGAAAATTTGGCAATGAAAATAATGTTCTACAGCTCAAGCTGCCCAATTGAAAGAAAAAAAACTGCTCAAAACTTGCCTCTTCACCATTTCAGGTTTTAAATATAGAAAGCTAATATTGTTAAATTTTATGTAGTTGCTAACAGAATTGATATGTATTGTTTTATTATTAATTATTATTATTATTATTAATATTATTATTATTATTATTATTATTATTATTATTATTAATCTCTCTTAATGATGTGGTCAAATTTTTTGTATGTTTGAAAACCTTAGTAACTAAGTGGGACCAAAAGCTAGCTACATGGAAAGGGCCTATATTAAAGATGTGCCTAGAAAAGTAAAGATATAAGCTTCAGACCCACATTTTCCCTGTTCTATTTGGAATATTTGAGACATTGTTTTAATAAGGTATCAGAGAGTGATTTATTTTATTAAAATAGATCACTCTCTGATCTATTTTGGTTAATAGAATGCCCCAAAAAATTATTGTGAATTATCATTCAAGCAATGGAAATTCCAGACTATTAAACAGGATCAGAAAGACAATGAGGTCCTTATTACGCTTTTTCAGTCAGGACATTCAAGAGAGATATCTTAGCAGGTTAATTTGAAGCAAGTGGATATTATGATGAAATGATATATTCGCCTATCTAAAAGGTTTAAATAGGAGTTAGGCGTAGAAGAATATCAATAAACTTTTTGACAGGCAAATTTTTTGAAAATTTGCTCTCTGCATGTACTGTATTTATTTTACGAGTGTGCTACCAGAGGCATCAAACATTTTTGCAAACATAATAAGATAAAGGCCAGAAATAATCCTAGAAGAATATGTATTCAAAAAAGGGAGAAGTACAATAGATGCAATATTCTCACTCCAGAACAGGAAAAAAGAAAGAACATATTTATCGTTCATTGACTCTAAAAAACCTTTAGAGAGAGAAGGGTTAGAAGTTTTTAGAGAATAGACAGAAACTACGGGGAATTTTGAGAGAAGAAAGTTCCAGAACATTGAATCAAAAATACACGGAGCTTTATACTAGGGACCAATGATTGTAATTAAAAGCAATGAAGCACATCACAACAGATGAGAATTGATAAAAGAGCATACCAAGGATGCACACTGTCTGTATTACTTTTCAGTGCTTACCTGAATCATATGATTTGAAAAAGGAAACAGAGAGCTCTAGCAGGAATACATATAACAAGAAAACCAGAAATTATTTACATTATTTGCAGATGATGAAACCATAATACCCCATGTTGCTATGCCATGATGCACATCACTGAAGAAGGACCAGAAAATAAAAACAATACTATATGCAAACAATCAAGTATTACTAACAACATCTGAAGGCGAATTACAAAGGGCAGCCCATAAATTAAATAAACTCACAAAGGAATATAAAATGAAAATTTTACTCTCAAAGACAAAGTCCATGACATTGATAGGTAAAGAATAAAGTAGAACAACATAGTAATAGAAAATAAGACAGAACAAATTTCAATGTTAACATCCTTGGGGAAAAGTATATAATTAATGGAGGCAAATACGGAATCAAAATTAAGGATACAAAAGACTACAAAGTACAACAATATAAATAGATGCTACAAAAGACACATCAATTTTAAAAGTTTTAAGGAGAGATAGGATAAGAAATGAAAAGATAAGAAAACAATTAAAGTGTTCAAAATATTGTCTCGGAAATTGAAATATAGCAAAAGAAATGTCATGGACACACCAAAAGAATGAAGACAACATTTCCCAAGACAAGTCCTCAAATACAAACCAAAAGGAAGAAGATAGCCTGCAAGTCTAAGAATGTGCTAGGAAGATCAAGAACACCTCAGAAGCCATGGGAGGAATATTGATAAACCAAGGAACAGGTCAACTGACCTACACGTTAATGGTTCATGATGATAACGACGACGATGATGATGAAATTGCCCTTTTTTATAGCAGTATTGGTTATTTGGAAGGAACTGGAAAGACAGGCACTAACTATACAGTATTTGAGTTACAACTGATTTGGGAATGAGAGAAAAAAAAGTAGACTAAAATTTGAATGAAGGAGCGAACAAAGAATAAATAAAAGAAAGTGCTTAATAGTTGCTGAGAACAATTTTGAAACTCGCGGGTGTTAGCAATTGTAGCGCTACGCAGGTGGTTATGTGAACTTCTAGCTTCTTTGACTGAATGGTCTGCTATACTCTCTGGGTCTGCTGTGCTGCACCGACTGCTCAGTACGTCAAATCTGTTTTAACATTGAGTGAACCTGGTCAAATTTGCACTACTGCTCGGAAATCGTCATGTTTAATGTTATATAAAAGAGTCTGTTCTTGCTGGGGCCTAGCCTACTTGTGGTATTACATTGAAATTACAATTATATCAGTGTGAAACATGACATGAAACCGCATGAAACGAACTCTGTGCGTTCTGTTTGGTGTGATATGAAGTGCTGTGTTTTAGGTTAAACGGTAATTTCGCAATTGTATTATTTTTAGTTCCACGAGGTACATGTAAAACTGCCGGTAAAACAATTAGAGCAGTTCGATATTTCACAAAAGAGGAAAATGAAGGAAGAAAGCTTGAGAAATAAGCGCCCAATGTCGGATGAAGAGAGACAGCAGCTAGCCGAACAACTGGATAAAGAATTAGATGATTACATTAATAGTCTACCAAAGACTTCGTATACAGATGGATGGCCTGAGGATCGGTGGGAAGAGGTGAGTGTTATATTTTATTCAAGAAAATAATAATAATAATATATAGTATATTATATTATATTATATATATATTATACATATATATATATATATATATATATTATATATTATATTTTATAGAGTCACATTAAAATTACAATCGTGAATGGCGAGTCATTATGTCTTGGGTGCAGAGGATGAAGTTACATTACTGTCCAGAAGAAAAACGAGGGGCCATCTCAGCATTTGCTTGAAGGGTCAGGGAAACTGGACAAAAAACTTAATCGAGATGGTGTCATTTGCCTGGGAATTATTCTACAATACTTGTCACAGATAAAGATATTTTACAGTAGATAATAATTTTTTGTAACAAAATAATTCAACATTTCGAGATATGTACTATTTCATGTTTAAAGTAGAAGTAAAATCTACATGCTATTGTCATTGTGAAATTGATAAGAGTTGGCCATATGATTAAACAATTTCAAAAATTGTCTTCCAATTTTGGAAAAAAACAATTTGAACCCAATTTCATTGTAGGTAAATGAAAATGACATTTTTCAAACATTTATTAGTGTGTTAAGTAGTGAAATTATGTTGTAAATGAATTTACAACTATTGAAAGGTAGAAAATGTTTCACTATAAGTACATGTGAAAAAGATGTCTTTAAGTTGGTCTCTCCTTGCTTAGTGTCTGCAATATTAAATTAAAAAAGTGTTTACCATTTTGGTATTTCTGATTTTGACTGAAGACATGCTTTTTTATGCCCGAAGGAAATGGAAAAACATCCATTTTTTATGACAAAATCTCCCTCTGAAGATGCTGAATTACCACCGTTGCTGGAAGGCATTCAACAACTAAAATATGATGAAGAGGAGAACACTCCTGAAGGTATTATTTTCCAATTATTTAACACAAAATTCATTGCTTCATTATATTCACAGTATTTTCAGACAACCAAACCTTTTTTACAAAGCATGACAAGGAATTGAATAAATTTCAGCAATGAATCGGTGCAAAAATTTGTATAATATTTATTTATGCTCCAAGGATGTTATATGGATTCCAATGATTGAGTGGAAACAAAATGCTCTTGGTACACTGAGGTCTCTAGAACCAGTTAACGCTCGTGATACTTACATAATTTTATTTTTTACTTAATGTTATTGATTCAGATTGACTTATTAATTAATGTTAACTTGACTCTGTTGTTCTTTTCATATTTCTCTCCTGTAATTCCCTTTCATAATTCCCTTCAAAAGAGAGCATGTAGCATCATTCAACTGTTTTCATACTTCCCTCGTGATCACAATTCTTTCGATCCAGGTTAGTTAGGCAGAGAATATCAAGCTCCGTATTGAAGGCATTATGAAGCTATAACATATTAATAAAAAAAATTATAATTACACATACTATTTTGAAATATAGTAAGTAATTTTTCAAACGCTAAATGCACTGATGATTTTCATCAGTGCATTTGAATGTAGTTAGATCGTTTTGATTTTGAATGTAGTTAAATCGTTGCATCCACATTTAAGATTTGTGAAGACTTGGCATGTTTTTCATAATTATCAGTAAAATAATTTTATGGATGGTCATTATGTAAGTCATTAAAAATATTGGCTGAACTCTAGTATATGGTACAACTTATGGATGTTATTAGTTATACTTTAATCAAAATATTAAAATTTCTTTAAATAAGCCTTGTACCTTATACCTGCCATTATTTCAGACTGTAAAGTGTATCTTAATGTTTTTTCCATATTAGTAAGTTTGGCTGAAATGTAGTATACCGTACAACCTAAGGAAGTCATTTAGACCGGCACTTTGTGCCGTTCCGGCATTACCTAGGCAGTTAGAATTCTGGAGGCTTTCTTGAAAACTGGTGTCTTATAAAAGGAAATTGGTAATTATGGTGTTGGATAGACTCAAGGATGCTTATAGTGAATGCGAGGGCAGAATGCGAGAAAACTTGCCTTTGAAAGTAAATTGGCATTACGATGCGGTGGGGACAAAGCATACGAAGGGCGAACCATGAAAATCGCCTTTCTATAAGTTTTATTAATTTCTATTAGAGCACACAGAAATTAGGGCTTAAGCCCTGCCGCCACACTTCTCGTTTTTTAAATACTATTTTTATTGTAATTGGTTGTGTTATTTACAACACAAAATATATCAATTTTCTACTGTTGCACTAGTTGTATTCCTTTTCATATTCATTATAACATTCTGTTTCTTTTCTTTACTCCAAATCAATATTTATTTTTATGCATTGTTGCTGGAATTTCAAGCCCAACATCAGGTTGAGGATTTCTCTTAAGATCTTCTTTCCATCGACAATTGTTCCACCACAGTTCATGTCTTAGCTTAAATCTTTCCATTCTTCTCTTGTGATGTATTCTAAATATTTGAACTTTGAATGTATTTTGAATCAGTGGATTAAAAAAGTAAGTACTTGATGGTGTATCAGGTGTTTATGAAATTCTGGAACAGTACAAAATTCATTACATACTGGAATCAGAAAGTGATACTTCCAAAAATTCATTATTATTCCTGTTATTGTGATCTTGTTTTACACCAAAAAATTATGTTGGTTATTTACCAATTCAATTTTATTCTGAATTTAGAACTTGCTGCAACCTACAAAGAAGATGGAAATTTTAATTTCAAATGCAAAAAATATCGGGTTGCTGTCATTAGTTATACTGAAGGAATACGTCAGAATTGTAACAATAAAGATTTGAATGCACAATTATATAATAACAGAGCTGCATCACACTTTTTCCTTAAAAATTACAGGTAAGTTAAGAATCTAATAATTTATCTTGTGCGGATTATGTAGAGTTTTTGTGGCCTCTAGAATTTTACAAGTAAAATTAGTGGTGTTACAAAAGCACATACTTTCTTGCATTCATTGAAACAGTTATGCAATATTATAATATTGCAATTTCTGCTGCACTAACCCTTCTGCTGTCATTTGGAAGTCTGAACAAAATCAAATGAAGTGTGAATCTGCAATTATTTTGACAGAAACAGTAGCCATTTCTTACTTGTGCCAAAGAAACAAACATGAATAAATCAAAACTGTTGCAGTATGCCCAGCACATTTTTCAGACGAGCAAAGATAATTTCAGACAAGCTTGCCTCCTTCACAACAAGCTTTGAAGAATTATATCATAATCAGCAGTCAAATCATTTTATAGTAAAACAAGTGTGTATATTAAACATCAAGCTGAAAATCATCTAATCTTATGAATGCATAAAATAATGTGCTATGCAACTAGTTTGTAATGTTATGCTTTCTTACATTAGTATGTTTTGATAATTAGTGCTGTTGGGAGTGAAATTCTAAATTTGCACACACGATGAACCAACATTTTGAAACAAGTTTCACATCAAATTTTGCATTTTGCAATATAAGATGTTGGTATTGTGACGTCATGCTGGGAGGACAGGTACTCTGCCAAAAAATGCATTTCTGTGAATAATTTCTTGGAATAGAAACGGTCATTTACATGCCGGTATATAAAAAAATTTAGAAATGTATTATCTTTTGTTGTTTAAATATTCTATCTGAATCTATATAGAAACGTTTGTAGGAAATTAATGATTTTAAAGCATATAAATTATCACAAATCCAACAATCAAAACAGGCATACAACAAGGTACTCTTATTTTTGAAATTTTCAGACATCCTTATTTAAAGGGGTGTCTTTGAAGAAAAAATGCACTAAGTGTACTTGATCTCCATGTCTAATATTGTAGTCGAAGATGGCAAAAAAAATTGTAACTTCTGCGGGTTTTGAAAATCCAGAATCTTAAACAAAAATGCGACCTCTGTCATTTTGTAAGCGTTTTTTTACTCTACCCAAGGGAGAAAAAAATAAACAAAAAAATTGTTGTCAATTTTGAAGCGGCAAAGAAAAAAAAAGACGCTAGCATCATTCACAGACAGACTTGCCGTAAACCAATTTTATCGCTAACAAGAACCCCTAAAAAGTGGATTCTAACTACTCAACTTGTTAGAGGAAGTAATTTACTACTTATAAATAAGGTACTAAATGTATGTAGTAACAAGAATTATCCACTTTCCCTGCAATATGAGTTTTTCTGTCGAAAAATCCCTGTCTTTTTTGTCTCAGCATTACAATACTTTCTCTGTACTACATAAGAAGAATGCGGGAAAAGAAAATTGTAAACATACCAAAGGGGATAGAAATATTTACATTTTCCCCATTCTAAAATAACACAATTCAAATAAATGTTAGAGTAATGGGTAGTATTGCTTGTTGCACAATTATCTTGTTCTTCAATTACTGACAACTGCAGTGCCTTAACAGTAGTTCATAAGAACAGAATGACAACAAGATGACCAATATTTGATTGCAGCCTTTGTTACCAACATTGAAGATATTTCCATACCTTTTTTAACAACTACTTAGTTCTAACTTGTCAAGTAAAATAAATAGCAATCATACTCATTAACCATAATTTGAAATGATAATTCTAATGTTCAAAAATAAAATCCACTCATTAAATCCACTTATTAAATAATGTAGAACAATTGTTTTCTGTAAAGTGACTATTACATTTTGTTGATATCATACAGAGACCAATATTTGTTGTAGGTCTTGCTTGAGAGATTGTCAGGAAGCATTGAAATTGAAGAAACCCTATGTGAAGGCTCAGACTCGTTTAGCACAGTGTTTTTTGTTTCTTCATTTACATGACGATTGCATTCAGGCATGTGATGATATTCTTATGGATTCTCCTTCTGATAAAGAAATATTGGATCTTCGTAATAAGGCAGTGAATTCAAAAGTTAGTTGCTGTATTTATATTTTCACAAATATTAAAAATTAGAAATTTTAATGTTGTGTATATTATCTTTTTAATAATCTGAGTAATCAAAGAAAGAAATATGAATTAAGTTATGTTATATTACTGAAAAATATGAAGTAGAAAAGGAAAGAAACTCATTGCTGAACAAAATATATTATAATTGGTGGTTGTCTGAATTTTGTTTTTGACTGTAAATGCAAATAAGAGAAGGCAATGGTATGTAATTCAGATTTTAATTATTGATTATTTTTTAGAAAGTACAAGAGAGAGAGAAGAGAAAACTGGCTGCTGCTCAGCGCAAAGATGAAGTCAATGAGAAAGCGCTACTGAAAGCTTTGCAAGAGAGGAACATACAGATTTATAAGAAAGGTATTGCACACCATACTAGTATGTAAAAGAAATGTTTCCTAAGAATGTTTTACTTCGAGATTTGGGCAGTGCTATAGATTCATTTCTTTAGATCACTTTTAATTTAACAACTATAAGATAATGTATTCTAGTTTAGAAAGTTTGCAGTTGGGAAACAAATAGTGATGTGAAATAGATAAATGTGCAAAAACTTAAATTGAACGATTTTGTGTATTGTCAGTAAGAGTATATTTTAAAAATCTTCCAATGTTTTTAGTCTAAGAAGGCATCTATAAATTATATAACGTTGAAGAGTGGGGAGGATGTCCGAGACGGCATTACCTAGAGGTACACGGTGCATTCTCATTTTTACTTTCTAATCTAGTGTCAAAAACTAAATAGATATATCAAACTATTTTGATTAGATTCTTCCTCTTCTTATTTAATCTTCTTCTTCAACTTCTGCACTTCAAGGATTAGATGGCTGCCTGTTCTGTTTTCACATATCAAACCATCTTCAATGTGGTCTTCCTACCTCCTTCCTGTTGATTGTACTGCAGCACTTGTTTAGGTAGCCTCTTGTGCTCCATTCTTTCTAAATGGTTTTTCCATTCTTGTTTATATAGTTGTATACAATCATTTAAACTAAATATATTTAATTCTTTTCTTATGTTTTCATTTCTTTGTTTATCTAGCAGAGTGCCTCCTTAAAAATTTCATCTCTGTAACTCAAATATTTATTTTTTCTTTTTGAGAGAGAATCCAATTTTCACTCCCAAATAGGACTACTGGTGTTGCCATTGTTTTATAGAATTTTAACGTTGTATCTTTTGTAGTCTTATCTCTTAGTGTTCTGTGTAGCATGCCGGAACTTGTACAATTTATTTTTTTATCTTGGCTCCAGTTGTTCATCACATCCCAGATAATTGAAATGTGATACTTGTTTGGTTTCCCAGGCATATCTTTGCTCTAATACGATAAATTCCTTTAAAAGCCATGACATTTTTTTTTTTTGTTTTGGTATTTTCATGTTATAATTTTTACACATTAGATTTAATTGATGGAGTGCCACTTGGAAATAATTTTCCTTTTTATACATAATAACTTGGTAATCAGCAAATAGCAGAGTATTGATATGATTATTTCCGTTCAATCTGATCCATTGTTTTACTTTTAATTTACATTCTCTAAGAATTTCGTCTACATAGATGTCAAATAAGATTGGGGAAAGGCTGATTGGGGGAAAGCGTCTTGGTTAGTTTTTAATGATTGTGATTGATGTGAATTTATTGTTATTTGTATCTTTGTATTTTTGTATAGACTGTTAATTTGATTTATTTTGGAAAGCCTCTTTTATCCATTATGGCTCATAATCTTCTCCTGTTTACTCGCTCAAAGGCTTTTTCAAAATCAATGAATGCAATGTGTGTGTCTAAATTAAACTTTCTTCTTTTCTCTATTACTTGGTTCAATATAAAAACATTATCTGTGTAGGATCTTCCCTTTCTGAAGTCAGAAATTTCTAGTGAGAGCGTAGGCTTCCACGGCCTGAGTCAGTATTAACTTGGCTATCTGCGTAATGCAGGGCACTATGCCCTGAGGAAGGTCGCAGAATGGCAACCAAAACGTTGGCACCCTCTCCATGGACGCGGCGTCACCCGGACAGCCAAGTAAATACAGAAATTTCTAATAATATAACTTCAGCTGTTGTCGTAATCCTCTTTTGGATCATTGTACTGTATATTTTATATGTTACGCTTAAGAGGCTAATACCTAATTTTCAGTTCTTTTAATCCCCCTTTATAAACACAGATGTTATTAGGGATGTTTGCCATTCTTCTGGAATTGTACTTCTGAGTCAACATTGATTATATAGATGTAAAAATCTTAAATGGGGAAAAGTGCTTCCATATTTTATTAATTCTATGTTTATATTATTTGTACCCTAGTTTTTCTACTTTTCATCTACCTATTCTATCTATTTAGCGGTTTTTTTACAGCCTTGGCTGTTTTCCACATCCCAATTTCCATGCCTCTTCATCCCATAGATCGTTTTCCTCCATTTCTCTTTTTTCCATGGCTTCAGTTATTGCCATGTTCCATCTTCTTCTCGGTCTTCCCCTGTATCTTCTTCGATTTGTATACACTCCCAAACGCTTTCAACCTTCTCATATGTCCTTACCATTTTAGTTGTTGGATTTCGATTGTCTCATTCAAGGTTTTTTGCACTTTCATTTTAATTAATTCAATTCAATTTCATTTTATTTATTATTTCATCATTTCTTATTTTATCTAACAGAGAAAGTTTACAACATCTTCGCCAGAACATCATTTCTGTTGATTGAAGTTTGTCTTTCAAATTTTTTGATAGTGTCCAGACTTCTGCCCCATAGAGTGTGGTACTCTCTATGAAGGAGCTATATATGCGTTTCTACTTTTCAGTTCACTTGATACTTGTAATAATTCTATTGTTAGTGGATCAATATTATCTTTCTTTTGTTCATGTTCTTCCTTTTCTTCCAGTGGGTTGAACCATAGATTATAATAATGTTGTAGCAATTTCTCTTCATCTATAACTTTCAATTGAACAAATTCCGTAGTGGTAGGAGATATCTTGTGGTAATCCATAATATGGTAAAGGAAATAATCTCCACAGGAGATTATTTCCTTTACCATATTAATTCAATTGAACTGTATCTTTTTCTTTTTGATTGGTTGTATCATTACTTTATAGGCTACTACTTGCTTTCCATAAATATCATTTTCTATTCAATTTATGAAGTGATCCCATGCCTCCTGATTTCAAGTATACTTTCTTTTTCTCTGCCACTGCTTCTTTAAGTTGCTCCTTCCATGCTCTTGAGTCCTTTCTTTTTCCTGAACTCTTTCTTTCCTAGGCTTTCAAAAGCTGCTTTTTCTATGCAGGATTTAATATTTTCCCATTATTTTTCTACTTTATCGCTTGTTGGTATATTTGCTTATATTGCTATAATTATCTTGTCTCTGTTTATATAGCTTTTTAATACTCTCTTCTTGTAGCAGATATACTTTAAAACCTTCTTCTACATAGTTTTTATTTTTGGGGCTTAGGTTTTTCCATCTTCTTGGTAATTTAATAGTTGAGACAACCAAATAGTGACCTGAGTTTATATCTTTGCCTCTATAAACTCTTGAATTAGGGTTGATAATTTCTCGTTAACTATAACGTAATCTGTGTGTTCTCCATATTGTAGCATTCCAAGTATGTTTATGAATATCTTTGTCTAAATGTGTTATTTTTAATTTATTGTAAGTGGCAAAATTTCGTAATTCTATACCATTGTTATTGATTGTTTGCTCTCCAAAGTACTACCTGCTGTACTATCGTAGAAATTGGTTTGTGTCCAACTTTAATTTAAGTCTTCACTAATTATCAGATGATCTCTGTTATTAATTTGGAAAATGCCTTTCTGTAGATTTTCATAAAAAGTTACGGTTTCTTCTTTTTTCCTTCTGGAGCATATTCTCAGACTCGATTTTTAATATTATTGTTATTATTTTTTCATTTACATAACAATAACTTCATATATTAGAGGTCCATTTCCTATCGATCAATATTGGTACTCCATTACTTGCTCTTTTACTTTGGTCTACTCCAAAATAGATCATTGTACAATTGTCAAGATCTTTAGTTCCCTTACATTTTTTTCTTAGTTTCTGTTAAAATGCCTAAGTTAATGCTACTTTCCTTTAATTCATTATTGAGTTAAGTGATTTTCTTTGGTACCTAAACCTCTTACATTCCATGTGGCAACTTTGTCTCTCCTTCATTCCCAATCGCTTGTCCTTTTCTCGCTTATGTTGTCATATATGGAATTTATCCGGCTTATCTATGTGAAGATTTTTAGTAATTGAAATGTCCCCTGACCGCGTTACAGGCTCCTTGCAGGGTATACAAGAATTTTCCTAACGATGGGATAAAGTGACAGATCGGAAAAAACAAGTGAACATCACGTTACTTCAGAGAAGTATCCCTCCGCCGCGTCAGCTGTTTAGTTACGCCCCTTCGTAGGGTTTGTTTACGGTTCACGCGAGACATCACTGACGAGATGTCTGAGTTTCGCTTAGTTATATGCACCACGCGAGTCCGGGAAATATAGAAATTTATTTACATAAATGGGAAAATGTCTTAACGTAATATCACATTCAATAAAAGAAAACTGCCACGAATGTAAATAGAAAGAAAATTGATTTTTCAGGGGATGTTCAAATAAATACCTTTTCTGGACGTTTCACAGGAAATTGCTCTAACACTTTGGAATGTTGAGGGTGGCTTATTTATAATTAAAACATTCCGACTATCAAAACTTGGTACTATGATCTCATAACTCAAATGTGATTTTAATGATTGTTTTATATTTCAGTAATGTTATGCTTTTAATGCATGTCTTGATCTACAACTGAAAGCTTTACTAAATTTTCTTGAGAGTTGTTTCCTTTACAAGCATTCATTTTTCAAATAAATATTTTAAATACTAAATCTCGATAGAGCATCTCTGATGTTAAAAGAATAAATGGGATGGGTATTAAAAATGTCCTATAAAGGTACATAAATATATGTAATTTCACTAGATTTGACCAAAGGTGCGGAATTGTTAATTCCATTACACTGGGACACAATTTAATACACAGCACAGAGGCCGGAAACATGTGCACCGTGGCGACTACGTATCTCACATTCAAGACTCGATTTTAAAACAAACATAATACTTATCACATAAAAACTAAATTCAATATAATTTTTATAAAAAAAACGAATTTTTACATTAGAGCACAAAGCTCTGCACTTCCTAATTTTAATTATTTCTCGTGGCGCACTATATTTTCGTCGGACGAGGACATCACAGCTAGGAGCGTCGTGGCTTCTTACATGTTAGCCAACTGCAAACGAACGAATGGAGGAAGGAGAGTCTATTTAGTTCAAGGACACAGAATCGTCAGTTGTGTTGCCAGCACTAGCTGTCAAATCATCCCATCCTTAG